GCTTCGAAAATTTCCAACGTTTTGTTTCCATTTGTTGATTGTTTGGGGTTTGTATGCTACCGTTTGGGACGGACATTCTTCATTCGTTTCAGGCGGACGTATTTGGCTATTAGCTTCCAGCCCAACTAGGCATTTCTGTATTGTTTTTATGGGTTTTTATAATTTTTTTCCTCCGACAAAACAATGGCCCAATACCATTTTTTCTGGCTTGGCTATACGAAGTCATTGGCGTTTTTTGTTTTTCATTTTGTTTTGCCATCGACGCCACAAGTTGCTATTAATATTGACGTTGTTGTGCTGCTACCAATGTTGAATTGTCAGTTAGTAGATGTTGTTGCAAAACACAGTGGGAAAACAGTACACACGAAGACAACTTGCTGTGAATTCAATGCTCTGGACACAATATGGTGTTGGCCGGGGTACACCTGGTGAGTGAGTAGTTAGTATTGACGTGTTTCTCACATTTGGAAAATATTTATTTTGTTGTACAAAGACACGCATTTACACGCACAACTGGACACATACTCCCGCCATGGTACATCACATGTGACACTACACGGACTCAGCGTGGTAATGCGTATATTTAAAAGGCAGGAATTATTGATCAGACATCTAAGAACAAAACTATGTCAAACTGTTGGCTATTTCAGATCAAAAAATATGTTGTTCTGTTGGTTAAAACACGCATTTATGTGATGATAACATTTCCGTTGATGTGCGTTATTCCCCTTTTTCCAAATACCAGGACGCATCTTGGAGAAAATAACTGTGCGTAAATATGAGTAAAAATATAAACCCGCCGATTTCAAATAATTTTTAACATACAATGTTTCAAGTGATATTTTTTACCTGAAGTTGAAATAAATCCCTTTGCCGTCCTCTACAAATACTATTCGAACGTCGTATTTTCGATTATAATCCCATGATAGCTTAATGGGGTCAGTGTTGAAAGAAAAATCACACAAAATGAGAATTTCTCAATGAAATTTGGACATGCAATTCAAATGATTATTAATTTGTGGCTACATTATACCTGTGCATGTATGTATTTGTGTATGCTTGAGTGTGTCTGTTGCCATCTTTCGAAATATTCGTTCATATTAGTTTCGCACAGGAACACAGAAAAAGGCAAACAATCAAACTTACAAAACTCGAGTATATTCATTAGCTTTGTTTGCTGACAACGTGCGCCGCTAGTTGGCTTTTTGTTTATGCGAAACACTCGACATTATTAATATTTCAGGGGGAAAGAATGGCAGCTACCACCTCCTACCCTATTCAAACTATCGCAGACCACATTTTCATGTTTGTCGGCATTTCTCTTATCAGTGTGAATGACATGAATTCCAAGTGCCCTGAACAAAGACATTAAGCGAAGATAACTACAATTGAGAATGAAATGACTAGTATGATGATGGTGGTGATGCAGATGGAGACTATGTCAAATATTGGGACACGACTGTTGTTGTGTTTTACTATCATTGGATTTTGAAATTTGCAACTGTTATGGGAAAAAGTCTGATCGGATAATATCTTCCCCGTATATCATTATTTAACATGGATATTCCCTTCAATGTTAAGCCCAATTTTATCTCAGAAAAGACAAACTAATAGATAAGGATGTGACTTTTGTAACATTCCTATGAAATGTACCCCGGGACCAAGCGTGGTTAGGAATTGTCCAATTTCGTATAAGAAAAGTCTTGAATATCTTGCAAATCATAGATCTCCACTTGTGCATAGAAATTACTAGATAGAATAACTCTTGTAAATAAAATAACTTTTTACATATATAAATAATGTATAGGTATAATATCGAACAGGTTCGGGTAAACCTTCACACACATGCTCTCGAAGAGTGCAAATTGTGTGAAAATCCCTAAATTAAACCCCCCTCTTATAGATGAAATACCTTATTGAAGAAGATATACTCGATAGTCTTAGTAAATCTCCACTGTTGTGAAAACAATGGACAAATGCATGTCAAGTTTAGTAAAATTATAAAAAAAAATATTTTCTGCTTAGACGAACTGCGGTTATTACTCCCTTTTGATAAACTTTTGGCACGCAGTGTGGTGTGGTACATTGCAAAATGTTCCATCATATTTATGTCTATACCGATGTTGCCACCAGCAGCAGTGATAATTACGTTTAGTGCAGATGAGATGATGCCGACGATGTTGGCGAGGATATCGTCGATGGTGTTCCACTCTAATTAATGTGTGAAAAGTCGAATGAACACACAAAATACATTGACTGACGAATAAATGAGTTAAGAAATATGAAATTGAAAATAAATAGGTGAGCCATTTTCTTTTCTATTTGTATATTTTTTATGAGATTGAGAACCGGGCATTCGCACATAATCTCAAATGTTAATATGTAAAATAATTGTTCATGGTCATGATGAAGGAGGGGGGGTGAGGAATAGGTGTTTATTAACACAATACGATGATTGTTGTTGCAATATAAAATAAACAATTTATTATGTGCGGTACATGTCAGGTGTGTTGTTGTTGTTGCTGTTCATTTGGATTTTTCCATTTGATGTTCGATTGATTTGAATTTGCCTGTGTAAAACACAACTTAGTTTCATTTCGATAATCGAAGAAAAATGCGGCAAATCAATTTCATCAATAGAACATCAATCAGTTGTTCGGCCTGTCAGGAATAAATCAGCCATTGTGGGTGTGCGGCAGTTGGACTTTGGAGAGGGTGATGCTAAACTTTGGTATGCCGTTGGTGACTTTCGATCGACGCATTTCGGTTTCGTTTAAATGACAATTTAATGATTTCATTTAAATGTCAATGTTTGCTCAACTGGGGAATGCCAAACGAATTGAATGCCAATGTCAATTGTGAAAGAAGTCAATGTTTACATAATGAGCATTTACGCCTGCTTGTATTTATTTCAAAATACTTGGAATTTGCAACAATTTTGTCTGTGAAATAATAAATCGCAATATAAAAAATGTGTTTGGAAAACAATGGACTTATGCGATATAATTTCCATAAACCGAATTTTGACAAATAACAATACATTACGATATAATGCGAATTTATCATACGAAGTCTGGTTTCGATAACATCTATATAATACTAATTAAAATTGTCTGATTTAAAAAAAAAAAATCGAATTTAGTTTTTACTCTGTTCATTCAATTCTTCAGTAAACGAATGCATTTCATTACAAATGTACTTCAAATATTCCGAAAAATGTTGGGATCCACCAACTAATTATTTGATGACTTTTGTAGATTTTTGTCGTACTTCAGCAAAGAGAAACATAAGTGTGTATCCATACATATTAAACTATTGCAATTTCTGTTGTCTATGTCAGAGTAATTTTTTAAAGAAATAGAAATCCTATTTATGCTTTTAGCCAAGCTCAGTTAATTATACTCTGAAAAAAAATTCTGAGGTAATGAGTGAATGAAGTTACCGTGCGATAATGTGCTGTAATGGATGGCATTGCAGGTAAATGCTTCCATACGGCCGATATTTTGTAGTTCGTTACTGCAGGTTGTTGTTCTCAGCGGCAAACAGAGCGTGAAGTCAGTTTTCAGTTTGGTTTTAATGATGGCTAAATTGTTGTTATTTTCTCTTGGTATTCTTATCTCTAGCCGAAGAAGTATTTGGAGATGAATGTACTCACTCCTACAAAGTTCTCTACTTTGGCACTTGAGCGTTCAGTCATAAATAATAGAAAATATTACAGGAAATTAGACAGAAACGCTTTAGTCGACTTTTGGTAGAATCAAATCTCTCTCTTCCTCATTCATAATATAGACAAGAATCGCATAAATTATGTTTTTTGAAAAGTTCAGATTGGGTCTCAGCCAGGGTAAACGTATGACCGCGAATATCATGCAAGCGGCTTTCTCTAATGGACAATATTCCTCATAGAACTAGTAACTAAATTGTTACTTCTCCTCGATATTTGGAAATAAAGTAAACTCTATAAAGAATAAAAAAATCTGAGGTATTCTAAAATCAAGTGAACAAATTTGTAATTACAACTTATCTGACAATGATTGATGATGAATTTTGATAAGTATTCAGTGTGAACTTGAAATACGATTGGTCATAATATCGGGGTCATAAAGGCTTATTACGGTTTAGATTTTATGACCGACGCTTATAATTTGGAGTTAAAACCTCTTATTATACCTTAAATATTAGGCGAAGAACTAGCATTGATATATGTACTAGCCCAGAAGAGTTGATTGTTAGAAAAAGAGAATATGCTTCACAAACTATATTGGTATATTTGAGCTACCCAAAAACATAGACCGGTATGACCCATTTGAGTTTTTGGTGATTACAAGAAAGTGGTGACCTAAGTATATTATTTTCAATACCAAACATCTTCTATATTAAATTTTGCGAGCTCTATCGTGATAAACAAGTATATTGATTGAGATCTCCATAAATATTTTTAGGTATTGCAAACGGAATGACAAATCCACCTATAATGGAGGGTATGCATATTCGTGCCATATAGAACAGTACGAATATGTATGTATTTTCAAGATTTTTTTCATGTTTTATTACTGGCATGTAATCTTTTGCAACTGTACATTTACATTCAGAAATTTAAAAACGTCAGTCATATTTCTCGCATTTATTTATTCGACTTCAGAAATCCATTCGCACATCAAAATAAACTAAATAGTATTATAATTAGTATCATAAATAATACCGAACATAACTATTAAATTACGAATACTGGTTTTGTTTTTGTTTTGGAATTCAAATTAAATTCTTTACTACGAATAAAAATGGCTTGGCATTTGTGCGAATGGCATAACCAAACCTAAAATAGGAACTAAATACCCAAATATCTATTTTAATCGCTGTGGGTAATCTGAATTTCAACAATGAGGAACGTCACGTTCATAATGTTATTGTTTTTGTTTTTGCTTTCAGCCAATATTTTTCACATCTTTATATGCTGACAGAAACATTAATTAATCGTTGTTTTTGTTTTGGTTTTTTAGTGGCCGTTCATACAGTAAAGACAGCCAGAAGAGCTCCCAAAGCGATTTAAGCTTTGCGAGTGGAGCTGGCAGTGGTGGTGGTAGTGCTGGTGGCAATACTGGATCTCCTAAACTTTTGGCTAAAACTCCACTGAGTAAGTATTCGGCAAATAAATGTATATACATCTTTAGTTTAATATTTAGAATAATAATACGAACTGAGGTCGAGAAATAATACGTAAGTTGGGCGTCGATAACTTTATGTTATTCATCGCTTAAAATTTTCTTCATTAACGATATTAAGTTATCGTCAGTCGACCGTAATTATGTCGTTA